TGTTATTATCGTTGTATATCGCTGGTCAAATCTTTCAGGGGTTTTGTCGGGTACATTGTATAATTGAAAGCCCGAAGGCTCTTTTTTGGCAGCATTTATATGGAAATCATTTTTGAAAAGAGATGAACAAATGCAAATCATCATATTACACCAGCGATATATAACGATAGTACGCAATTAAAATTCAATTGTTATTATCGTTGTATATCGCTGGTCAAATCTTTCAGGGGTTTTGTCGGGTACATTGTATAATTGAAAGCCCGAAGTCTCTTTTTGGCAGCATTTATATGGAAATCATTTTTGAAAAGAGATGAGCAAATGCAAATCATATTACAAGAAATTCTCAGGTTTCTAGAAACTTCAAAGCATGCTCTATTGCGATTTGCAAAAAGGTGTGGTCCCACAATTTCGTGATAACGATAGTAGAGAATTTCGGAGATTCTAGATTGTCTATCAATTATATTTATTTGAAAATCTGTATAATCCTCTTATTAATCGAAAAATCGCCTATTTTACATGACAAAATGATCTGCAGAAGTCACACCTTTTTGCAAACCGCAATAATCTAGTTAAAATTTCAGATTTTTCGATTTCCTACATAAGTATGTGACAATCATCGTCCACCTTTTTGCAGGTGTTTTCAAAAAGGTGTGAACAGCGATTTCCACATACCTATGTGGGAATCGAAGAATTTGGAAATTATCATTAGTAAAAATTGAAGATCAGATTTGAGCTGGCTTTGAAAGTTTTGGAAATCTGGGTAACTTCGTGATATAGTTATTTACGTCTGTTCACACATTTTTGAAAACAGCTATAAACCAATCAAATTATGGTATTTTGACAAACTTGTAAAAAGTTTAGCGATTGGTTATGCGACGTGGCAGGCATTTATCTTTACGCGTTCATGCATTTAAATCTCGATTCTTGATATATATATATATATATAATATATGTACTTATAAAGCCAGTTCCTTGCGCAGGATAGATTTTTACATGATCAACAAAATCACTTAAAGCTTCGTTTAAGTTAGTGTTAAGATTTGGACTCGAGTTTAGCAAATATTATAGTAAAATTGTTTTAGGAAAATTTTTAATTAGAGCATAAAGAACGATTTCTAGGTTAAATTTTCCAATTTCTTCGAAACAGATGTTTACATGTACATTTGATCGTGTTACGTTGCATTTAATTGTGATTCTCCATTGGCTAATAATCATGTGATCGGAAATCTATCCTACACCCTGTGCAAATTTATTATAATTAAAGTTATTAAAAAATTTTAGGTATGTTTAGATATATCAAAAAAGCAAGTGCAGGAGTATCAAAACGTAAGTTTTACACCAGTCAATCTATCTAGTGGCTATTTATGCTATTGACGTTTTTGCATTTAAGATTTTTAACTTAAATTTTTTTATGTTGGTATTGGTACTTATGTTGGACTAAAGTATTTTTGTAGGATGGAACGTTTCACTTAAAACACTACAAACAGTCAGTTTTTGAGATGATATATATAACAACATAGGTGCATTTTGGTAAATAAGTCCTGTCAATTTAAAAAACAAAGATAAATCTTCAAATTATTAAAATTAAATCTAAATTTTAATTATATTTAAAGAAGCTTTAATTTTAATATGCTGTTAAATCTAGTTATACTTTGTACTCTCATTAATAGGATTTCGTTAATACTATAGAAAGTGATCCTTCTAAACATTTAAAATTATTATATGACAAGTTAACTGTTATGACAAGAATAAAGTGATAAGAATATGGTGTTCTCAATTAATTCTTTAATAAATGATGATAAATTTATTTATCTAAATTGATTTTAATATTTTCAAAATCATTTATATACAGTTATACCGCTATATAGTCATAGTCACTTTTGCTTATAATCACATAAATTTTTAAAACCAACTTATATAGCATTTATAAGATTTAAACCTCTAGGTTTGACTGTAGTTGAGTTAATCATAGTTCAATGCAGAGTAGTCTAGATTGATTTCATCTTAAAAGTCAAACTAGGTATTAGATCGAGTATAAATCGTTATTACATATATGCCTACCCGAAATATATAACAATTTACTCAAAGAATATCGGAAGAAAATTGCAATCAAACAAATCAAACAAGCAAATTTTAACATTTTTATTGAGTGTTGATATTTTTAGTGTACAGTTAGGAAATGTTATCCTGCTTTGTGTAACATAAAATAGTTTTTCAAATTATTCGAAAGGATATTAATAACAAGTTTGATTAGTGGCAAAAAAATTAAAAAATCATACACGAAACGAATAATTGTTTCAAGCAGTTTTAAGCAAACCGGTTGCATAAATAGGGTTTCTAAGCATTAAAATGATAATAACTACTTTATATTGAGCTAAATTACCATTAATGAAGAATGTTCTTAAAAGCGTTGCGAATGAGTTTAATTAGTCGCATATCGAAAAGTAATCATAGTATAATGAGCAAATCTAATTAAGCAGATTTGAGCATTTTAAGCAGGATACCATCTCTATGTACAATATTTTAAATGTATACAAAACTTTTTTTGAAGGCTTAAATAGCTTAAATGTTTTGACAACAAAGAATATTATTAAAAAATTGCATGCTATTCTACGCATAAATGCGAACATATATTAGTTTTTTTTTTTAATTAGTAAACGCAATAAATAAAATTAATTAATATTTTAATAAAGTTGATGTTTTGCTATGCGAATTGAAAAAAATATATTAATAAAATTGAAAAGCATTGTTAACATAAAACATAAAAGCAATGATATATAAACTTACCAAAAATCAATATTACGATTTTCAAGTTCGTCTATTGCTTGTTTTTGACCTTTTGCAATAGCCAACAATAAACACTGTATTCCTATTTTCTCATCCTTCTCTACATATTTCCCGTCCAAGGATAAAATACCGTAATAGAATAACGCTGTAGGATTACCATTAACAGCAGATTTTTTTAAATATTTTATATACTCTTGTTCATCAATATTTATTATCTCCAATGCATAATGAAGTTGTGCTTCAGGAACATTTTCTTCAGCAGCTTCCTTAAAAAGTTTTATGGCTTCTGCTAAATTTTTTATACCTTTATAATAACCTTCCTTTAAATATAAACCTTTCCAATATTTTGCAGTATGATCTCCAAGATCAGCATGAATGCTAAAACACTCCCACGCTACATCTACATTTTTCTTGTAGTGTGCTTCTATGCCATCCTCTAGAGACGGGATAAGTGGTAATATAGCATTATTTATAGTCAGATGTGATTCGTCATCAAGATCCGTATCATTATTTTTAAGTAATAGACTTAATTTATTGAGTTCGGTATTAAAAGCATTGATGCATGGTCGCTCGGAAGGTTCGTGTGCCCATGCTAGTTAAAGTGATGTTAATATACCGAGTTGCAAAAAAATTAAATAATAAATTTTTGTTGTTAAAACCCTATTACTTACCTGTCTGAATAATTCTCGAAAATCCAGTAACAATACATCTGGGGCAATTATTATCAAAGTTAAGATGCTCCCTTTTGCCAGACTTTACATAGTCACATATATTTTTCACGTTCACTTTTTTGTACGGCACTTTTTGAAAAGCGAGTTCCCATAGAAGCATACCATAACTAATTAAAAAGGTCGTTTATTTATTATGTTATAATAAGAAAACAAATAATAAAACAATAAATAATTTTTACTTACCTAAACACTTCACATTTAAATGTATAACTTTCTTTTCTAGGACTCGTACCAGAAGGCATCTTTTCAGGTGCCAACCAACGAATTATTTCATCCATACTTTTAATTTTTGTGCTAAGATGTTTTGCATGTCGGCTAAGATCGAACTTGGCAAGTTTTGCGTTATAATTCTTATCCTTACCAGAAATCTAAATAAATTAAAACATTCAGATTAATACTATTTATATATGTATATATTTGTATACGTTTTTGGACAACTTACCAAAATATTTTCACAACGGATATCATGATGAAAAATATTACATCCTTGCAAAAAGATAAGACCATTACAAATATCATGAGCAATTTTGACCTTATCTTCCCATAAAAATTTATCATTTGTTAAATTTTTTCTTTCATAGACTTCTTTTAAATTACCACATTCTGCCCAATCGAATACAACAAGGTAATGATCACTATATTTAGCAAGTCCATGAAATTTAATAATTTTATCGGATACTTCTAATCGATTTAAAATAGAAAATCGTGTATTAAACATTTGTAATTCGGAATTTGGAATGTTGATACGCTTGCAAGCAACTTCTATTTTCCCATTTAATAAACGTTTGAATACTCTGCATCCATCATTTCGCTTCCATCCTTTATCTTCTTGCAACGAATTTGGATTTATCTGAGGCACATTTAATGTAATTTCTTTTCTTTCCATTTTCTTTTTTATTTCGGAAACTTCATCAAAAACTTTACTAGGCATTTTACATGTTTTAGGTATCACCACCTCTTTTTTATAACGTATAGCTTGTATATCGTCCTGTACAACACCACCTTTAATCGTCTCAAGAAACTAAAATGAAAAATGAAATATCTATTAAGTATATAAAATAATAATAATAATTATTATGAAAATTAAATAAATTCACACCTCATTCATTGCATCAACATCTTCCATTAGACTTTTTTGTACAAGGCGTTTGTCCTCTACTGATATTGTGGTGTTTAAATTTAGATCAACACAAGATGATTCCAATTCATTAATTAGAACTATACATCTTTTTCTTATATCTTCAGCAGATACAAATTTAGAAAGGCCTTTAAGTTGAGAAACATTACTGATAAATTCTTTTATATCTCTTAAAACCCTATGAAGTTTAATAAATGATTTGACATAATAATCATCAAGAAATTTATCCTCTTCTTCATCTCTTCTTCGAAATAATATTTTAACTGCTGTTAAAACATCATCAGCACGATCAGTTAAGACACGGCAGGTCTTTCGATTATATTCGGCACCTTCATATGCTTTTGAAATTTTTTCAAGCATTATATTTAATGCGTCAAACCAGGGAAGTATAACTCTGAATGCACTAATAGCTTCATAGACACTGGTACAAAAAAAAATATATTGTTAAAATTTGAATATATTTTTAATTATCATAACATTTCAGTTTAAAATAAGAAATTATACTTTGTTCTTAGGCCAGGCACTTGTTTTGAAGATTTCGTTCTTAAAAATCTTGGAATTTTATCTAAAGATTTTTGGTTCACAGGTATGAATTGTCCAATGGTGATTTTTTTAATCGGAATAAAATAAATACACCAGTGCATTTTATATTCATCAAAAGTTGATGTTAAATGCGTTTGTGTTTTATTATAATCCTTTATATGTAATCGAATTCCTTTTTGGTCAACAGATTTTATGCAAGATGAAAATGATGGACCATCAGCTGATGAATAATGAAATGTACAGGCGAACCTTGCATTTTTCACATTTTTAAGTGGTTGAGGTAATTCAATATTTAAATTTTCAATATCTTTGTTAAATATTATAGTACCAACTTTTGCAACAAAATAATTTTGAACATATGGATTTCGATAATTGATCACATCTGGATCTCCAATCAACAGCCAATTAATGTTCAGTTGATTGCCAAAATATTTCATCCTAAAAATTTACGAATTATTAAATTTTGAAATTTGAAGAAAAAACAAATTAACGGTAAGTTAAAATTCATCACTTACTCATGCCCAGTAAAATTTTCAATAATTACGGAAAACCCATAATAATTAATTGATTTAAATTTAATAATTACATTATCTATCTGATCCCCAGATTCCTTCGTGATACTTCCATAAAGTAAGAAATCACTATTTTCTAATCTTTTTGGAAATGTGATACGGTGATATACTACAGATGATTGTATCTTTTCACAACCAGTCATTATTACTTGATATTTAACTTCTGGTAATTTCAAATGTTCCTGATAAATTTCTCTCGGTTTCAAATATTGAGAAGGATGAGAAAATAGGAATACAGTGTTTATTGTTGGCTATTGCAAAAGGTCAAAAAACAAGCAATAGACGAACTTGAAAATCGTAATATTGATTTTTGGTAAGTTTATATATCATTGCTTTTATGTTTT